ATTCCCAACAATCTCCCACTTGTCCTAAAACAAGTGTGTCATGTCGTTAATCCCAAATCCATCTAAGTGCCGATCAAATACATTCAATGGCAATGTCTTGGTGAACGGGTCAGCAAGGTTGTCCTCTGACGCGATCTTCAGAACCGCTACATCGCCTCTATCCACAATGTCTCTAATCAGGTGATATTTCCTTTCTATATGTTTCGCACTCTTATGGCTTCTAGGTTCCTTTGAATTAGCCACCGCTCCACTGTTGTCACAGTAGAGCTTAATTGGCTTATCCATATCTGGAACAACTTCCAGATCAGTTAAGAACTTCCTGAGCCATGTAGCTTCTTTTGCGGCTTCACAAGCTGCAACATATTCAGCTTCCATGGTAGAGTCAGCAACACACTTTTGCTTTATACTTCTCCATACCACGGCTCCTCCATTAAGAGTGAACACAGATCCAGATGTCGACCGTCGACTATCTCTATCCTATTGGAAATCGGAATCTGTGTATCCGGTGAGAGACAGATCTTCTCCGGAATATATCAACATATAGTTTCTCGTTCTCTTAAGATACTTGAGAATACACTTTACTGCAACCCAATGATCCAATCTTAGGTTGGACTGGTAGCGACTGACTACTCCCACTGTATAGCAGATATCTGGTCTTGTACATAACATGGCATACATAAGGCTTCCCACAGCCGAAGCGTAGGGATACCGTCTCATATCTTCTTCCTGTTGTGGGGTCTTTGGACATTCCTCCTTAGAAAGATGAATACCATGCCTAGAAGGCACATTCCCTTTCTTGGAGTTTTGCATCGAATACCTAGGCAACACTTTGTCTATATAAGATGATTGTGATAACGCCAAAAGCTTTTTCTTGCGATCTTGAATAATCTTGATCCCAAGAACATAGCTTGCCTCTCCCAAATCTTTCATTTGGAAATGGTTGGCTAACCACTTCTTTACATCTGTCATCATTCCCACATCATTCCCAATGAGTAGGATGTCATCGACGTAAAGAATTAAGAAGACCTCTTTCTCTTCTTTCTTGTACTTGTAGACGCATGGTTCATCAATGTTTTGATCAAATGCATAAGACTTTACAGCCTCATCAAACCTGATGTTCCATGATCTAGAAGCCTACTTCAGTCCATAAATGGACCTTTGCAGTTTGCAGACTTTCTGCTGTTGGCCTTCCTCTATGTAACCCTCTAGCTAATCCATATAGATGGTTTCATCAAGATAGCCATTCAAAAAAGCTGTCTTGACATCCATCTGCCATATCTCATAGTCAAAATATGCTGCAATGGCTAGGAGTATCCGGATGGACTTAAGCATAGCTACTGGCGAGAAAGTTTCCTCATAGTCAACTCCCTCCTTTTGGGTATAACCCTTAGCCACTAGCCTTGCTTTATAAGTCTCTACTTTTCCATCTACTCCTCTCTTTCTCTTGTAGATCCACTTGCATCCAATGGGTTTTACCCCTTCGGGTAGATCTACAAGTTGCCAGACCGAGTTAGAGTACATAGACTCCATCTCGAGTTTCATAATTGCTTGCCATTCTTCCTTATCAAAATCATCCATCGCATCCTTAAAGGTCGATGGATCCTCCTTACCGTCATCAGCAGTGACGATTTGGGGTTCCCCGGTATACCGGTCGGGTAACATGCTTACCTTCCCACTAGGACGAGGTGCCTTGGGAGTCTGATTAGGAACTGTGGTCTTTTCTATGAGTGGTTCAACAACTCTTGTCGTTTGTGGTCCGATCTCATCAGAAAGTAACTCTTCCAATACTATTTTACTTCTGGGCTTAAAATCTATCATATAGTCATGCTCCAGAAATGTGGCATTTGTCGATACAAACACCTTTTGATCTTCAGGACTATAAAAGAAACCTCTCTTTGTCCCATCGGGATATCCTACAAACATACATACTTCTGACTTGGGCTCCAACTTCCCAGTCTTTCCCTTCAGCACATGTGCTGGACACCCCCATATGCGCACGTGTCTCAAACTAGGTTTTCGACCGCACCACAACTCTAAGGGTGTTGTAGGTACAGACTTAGATGGTACTCTATTCAGAATGTAGGCAGCTATTTTTAGGGCATAACCCCATAACAAAGTAGGCAGTGAAGAATAACTCAACATTGATCTTATCATGTCAAGCAAAGTCCGATTTCTCCTTTCGACTATACCATTCTGCTGTGGTGTACCGGGTGCAGTCAATTGGGATACCACGCCTTCTTTAATTAAGAAATCCCAGAATTCTTGGTCCAGGTATTCACCCCCTCGATCTGATCGAAGTGTCTTGATTGGTTTACCTAATTGTTTTTCAACTTCTGCTCGGAATTCTCAAACCTTTCCAAAAGTTTCAGATTTCCGTTGCATCAGGTAAACATAACCATATCTCGAATAGTCGTCAATAAAGGTGACGTAATATTCGTAACCTCCTCTAGCTTGGACGTTTAACGGTCCACATACATCTGAATGTATCAACTGAAGGGGTTCTGGAGCTCTTTCTCCTTTCGCCGTGAAAGGCCTCTTGGTCATTTTACCTTCCAAACAAGATTCATAACAAAGTTGTTCACAAACTCATGAAAATTAGGGGATAGGCTTTCCAAGATGATGTCAACTTGGGTGGCTTCATTGATCCTGGCACCATTGAGCTCCGCATCATGGAGGTGATTAATCATGTTCAAAACATGTGCCTTGACTGAAGAACCTTTCTTCATTTTGTCATTCATGAAAGCCCTAACAGCATCCAAACGAGCCTTTTCAGAGGGAGCGCCGAACATGGCTTCTAGAGACTCCATTATCTCATAAGTAGTCTCCATCTCATCATGCTTCTTGCGAAGCACATCGCTCATATTGGCCAGCATAAAGCACTTGGCTTTGTTGTTGGCCTTAATCCAGCGATCATAAGGCTCCCTTACGGTTTTGGATGCGTTTGCCGCGGGTTCAGGAGGACATTCCTCCGCTAGGACAAATTTGTAGTCTTCGCAGACCAATAGTATGTTCATGTTACTTTTCCACTTAACATAGTTATCACCGCCTAATTTTTCAGTCGCTAGTAGTGTGATAATGGGATTCGACATATTGCTGGAAATAAATAGGATATTCATCTAATCATTTTATGCGCATGAATATCAAGGACATGTGAATTTAGGCACAATTAAATATGATGTATGAAGCATATGAAAAATACATACATCATGTTTTAATTTTAGGTGCCAATGATAATCTAATTTTCCACATACAAAGTGTACCTTTGGGTAGTCAAGTTATATGCCAATTAGACCGAGACTCTTCTCAGTTAATAAATATAGTCAAAATATCTCATATTTTCATATTTACTAACTACCGTTAGTCAAAATATAACCAACACTTTGGATTATACTTCATGAGTGTAACCCATCATTTCAGATCCCATAGACTTAACTCCGGATTGCTACCTTTGGGTAGTCAATTCAGAAATACATCCTGAAATCTTATCTCTAGGAAGCCAACCTTGTTATTGATCCGGAAAGGACACTCTCCTTTAGGAGGGCGATTCAATGTCGCCGCAAAATCCCTTTCCGGATCTCACGGTGTTGCGCTAACGGTAGAGACTAGTGGGCCGCATTGTCATACAACCCTCACCCACTCATTATTTTGCAAATATGTATTTTGTTTGAAAAAACATCTCATGATTTTCAAATCGAAAAATAAACAATTTATTTTTCGGATATGTGAAATTCCAAAATTTAACTCTTAAATTCAATTTCACATATAACATTATTTTGCAAATCAATTTTGCAACTTAAATCAATTTAATCATATTAAATCGATTTTAGCGCATGGTTCATATTTTATTTTATTTTTCTAAAACACTTTTATACTAAATAAAATACATAATAACAAATGCGCGTATATGCATGGCATGTTATAAAACATATGAGTAGACACATTATATCTATATGGCATGTTACATGCATGGACATATAATATATAATTATCAACATAAAATATAACATATGCAATCAACTATTGAGATGGATTTGACCGGGTCCCATGGATAAATAAATTACAACTCAATCGAATCGAATAAATAAATATTTACAATAATTATATTCTTCCGTTACATCAACAGGTCTTCGATTCTTGAGTTCTTTATTCTTCGGCTTCATTCTTTGTCTTCGGGTTGGATTTCACCTTCCTTGGGGTCCGGAACTTTTCCGGGTCTGTCGGCACGCATTACGAGGGTTTCGGAAACCTTTGTGGCCTTTCGGGATCAAATCCCGAAACTGGGCCGCCACCTGCGTTGGGCCGTGCGCGTGCGCGAAGTGGTCACGCGCTACGTGCAGGAGCGCGGACTGTCCGCGCGCTGGGCGCACACGGGC